ACAAAAGAGTGAAGACTACAGGCTTTAGAGCAGGGGCTGGAGCACAGGGTGTAAGAGGATGGGTTGTTTGATGATAAACCTAATGGTCAGCAGCCTGGCTTGTTAATTACAATAGTAAGCAGTAGTTTTTTTAAAAAGCTACTCCTGGTCTAGAGATTTAGTTCAGTGGCATAAGCGCCTACCTTGCAAGCCCACAATACCTGGTACCAATAAAAAAAGCAAGAAATGCATATTTTAAAAAGGCTATTCCCGTATCGCATTGTGAACCAAAGAGATGATGGTCTATCTTTCATGTCCTTATTAAAACTAAACTACCCAAAATATACACACTACAGAACAATGACAACAACAACAACAAAAATAAAGCAGAACAGGAGGGCCTGGGATTGTGGGGATTACAGGACACTGAGATGTGATCCCAAGAGTCCATGGAGTTACCTGCAGTGATCTGAGGGAGTTTGTATGGTGGTGTGCTCTAGGTGAGGTGTGCTGATCCGTCTGGGGAAGGCCTGAGAGGAAAGTGGTACACAGCGGGCACTGATGTCTTTGTGGCCCATATAACTGAGAGAAAGAATGGCACTGGTGTGGCTTGAGAGTCCCTGGGAAAGGCACATGGAAACCATGTCCCAGAGGGGAGAAGCCACCAGTGAGGACTGAAGGTATAGTGTGATTAAATTTCGTCCTGTAATTGGGTCCCCTGTAAAACCATGGCAAGCGCAAGAGAGGTTTCACATAAAAGTTTATGGCAGTGTTCTGACCTGCAGGAGGAGAGTTCAATCATGTGGCGTGGACACCTCTTTGATTAGGCTACACAGCAGGTGAGTGTTACCTTGTTCCCCAAGTGCCAGACGTGCACTTCCTCTTCTGGATCGTGTCCATCTGCATGTGCTCTGCACCTCTGTGGAGCTGCAAAGAGCCACAGTGACTATTTGCTCTGCAGGGACACTGATGGCTGTGTCTCGAGGATGGACCAGTGTGTGTGTCCTCGCTTAAGCCAACCTTCAAAAACTCTGTGCAAAGACGCCCCAGTCCAATTTTGGCCCTCAGCTGAAGGAGCGACTTCCAACCAAATAGTATGAAGTCTGACACCCTTCATCAAGGAGTTGTGGTCATAGCCCACCCACGTGATGCTCAGGATAAAATACTCGCAGTGTCAGGAGGACCTGAGTGGGTTTATGAGATCAGAGGTGATTGTGCAAACCAGCAGTTGAGCGGCACACACAATCTTACTGTCATAGGTTTGGTGTTTTTCTGTAAACTTGAGAGTACAAAATAAAAAAAAATTAGGGAAAAGTACATTAGGAAAAGCACAGGAAAATGATGAATGTGCGTAAGACACGATGGTAGCACAAGTTACCTTAGAGATGGGTGACTCTCTCCTTGCTCCTTTCTTCTGTTTTTAAGTCATTTATAACGAACTTAGGCTATTGTAAATTCAGAAAAAGATGACCATATAAAGGCAGAAGGCAACACAACCCTACCTATTCACTTTTCCTTTTCCGTGTCAAGTCCTAGAATATGAAGTGAGAAAGGAGACTCAGAAGAGAGGCAGAGGCAGCCTCAGATGTGGGGGCTGGGCTCCCTGAGTGTGAGGGGTGCTCACACTGCTTGAATGTGAGGGGTGCTGTTGCTGTCCGTGGCTTATTCAGGAGCTGCTCACATGGGTGTGAGTGTGTTTGTGTGAATCTCCCTCACCTGGCTGTGTTTTCTTGGGAGCCCAACAAGTGGCGGTAGGTGTGTTACAATTCCTCGATTCAAGATCTTTGGGCAGGATCTATATGAATTTGAAAACTACATATAGAACAGGATGGCGTCGATTAATAAAAGAAACCCATTGACTGAGTGAAGTTTAAAGTAAGAATCCCCTCGATTTGCCCCTCCAAATTGCATTACTTTCCACCATAGGAATCCTGTAGCTGGGGTCTGGTTAATGGAGGATCAGGCAGCTCTGGCGATGGTTCCACCGTTGCTAATCTTGCTGGGAATCTCTCAGCCTCCACCTCAAAGCGGTTGGATATGGCGAGACACACAGAAGGTCACTCAAGGAGAAGGCCCAGGAGGACCACTGTACTGGGCTCAGGCCTCTTTGTGGGTCTGCAGCATCTCAATTGTGCTTTGGGGATCATGCCTTCCCCTTAACTGTGTGTGAGTGTGTTACAATCTTTAAGGTAAATGTCTGTTTATGTAAGTTGTATCATATACACAGTCTGCTGTGACTTGAGTGGTGGAGTAACATGGAGCTGGGGGCTGAACACAGAGCCTCACACATGCTAGGCACACAGTGCTCTACACTGAGCTATGGGCTTATACGGGTTTTAAGAAGCATAAAGGGAGCTTTAGGCTGAATTTCTGAAGTATTCACTCAAAGACAGAATGCAGGCCCTCAAGAAGGTAGCAGGCTGTGTAGTCTGGAGATGAGAATATTTATGTATTTTGCTCAAGGAAATCTGTGGAATTTGTGAATCTATTGCAAGTTTGGGCCTGGATGACAGGATAAAGTAACAGCCTGCAAAGGGTCTGGAGAAAATCATGATTCACTTTCTCGGCCAAAGGGTGAGTCATTCTCCAGGGGAAAGGTAGGGACAGTTTCAGTTTATTGACATGTGATTTATGATTTTTGATCTAAACACAGTCTTAAGAATCTTTGAATTTGTTCTTTTGTGTTAAAATTTCTGAACTTCACTCCATCACTTGAGCTGGTTTGTGTGCATGTAGTATCTTTAAAGGGTGTGGGATGGTGTACATGTATGGGTGATCTACATTCATTTTGAACATTTCCTAGATCTCAAATAATCCCTTGTAAGTTCCCAGAGATCTGCTTCACTGTCCCACACCCTTATTATTGGTATTTATTTACAGTGCATAGTAAGTACATCCATTGAGTAGAATCGGGTCAAGTACATAGCACTTACTGTGGCGAGCTTTTCCTGGACCTCCTCTCCATCCAAGATGTTTGTATTTGTAACCTTATGCAAAATGTTTTGGAATTCCAGTGAATTTATTCCAATCTGCCCCTTCCAGTTCAACCCAAGGTGAGAATAAAGACATAATTATAGTTATAGGGAGCCAAGGGGTCCTAAGCTCAGCCTGGATGAGGGTTCACCAGAACCAAGACCTCAACCCAGGGCCTACGTTCGGTTTTTTAAAATTCTCCATGAGGGCAGTGGCTTGGGGGTGAGTGACAGTGAAAGTGGCAGGAAACACATGACTGCTGTGAGCTGGGCTAGGTAGGAGGCCTGAGATCACCTCTGCCACATGGAAAGAAAAGCAGATCAATTTGCATGACACCGTTGAGGTAGTACCTAGTGTTTTGGGGTCAGTGATTCAGCTCTGCTGTGCAATCCTTTGTGCCCTGGAAGTCTTGCCTCCTCTCCTCAGATTTGGTCCAGCTGATAGCATGGAGCACACTTCATCCCTCCCAGATAAACCAGGGTCTTTGGGAGTCACTGGCCAGGGAAAGAAGGATTGTCTCTTACTTCAAAGATTACACATCAGCTCCTCAGCCAGCCCAATTGACATTGATTAAAGCCAACTTTAGGGATAAGAAAAGTCCTAGCCAGCTCTCGGTATATCAATACTCACAGATAGGGCCAAATTTATACAAAACAGAGACAACTGCTCTTCTTTCAAGGACAGTCATCTAGGCCGGACTTCCGTTCCCTCCTTTCTTTCCCTGCCTTGAGTTCCCTTCCCATTTCCAGGTAGTCTATCTCCCTGTTTGCTGTCACATACCTTTTCTATTACTCATGAAATGATAAGCCATGTGATATTTTGCCTCTGTGTCTGATTTATTTCACGAAGCATCATGGTCTCGAAGTGCAAGCACTTTCCTGTGACCGCTCCAGTTCAGCCTTTATGGCAGAGTAATGCTTTGTTGTATATAAATACCACAATTTTTTATCCTCATCTGATGGTGAACACACAGGTGGCTTCCAAGATTCACTGTTTCTGACAACCTTGAAGTCATCGCTTGTATGTATGTGTCATTTAATCTGCGTCTCCTAACAGATGGCTTGGTTCTTCATACTCTTTTACTCCATAGACTGTAAAAATACTGACTGATACATCTTTGTTCAAAACATGAAATGTCTAAGTTGAAGGGCAGGTATGTTTTCTGTTAAGATTTTCACATGGCTGTCCTGGAAGCAGTATCATTTAGCATTCTCAATATTGTAGAGATAGTATTGACTATTTCTCTATGTCCAGCCAGAAGTTTGTGAGTCTTTTCCAGCAATAAATTGTGGGGGCCAAAAAAACCAAAAACCTGTTCAAGAGATGGGTGAAGGCATCTCCATTACTGCAAACAGGTGGTGGTGGTATGTGGGAGTGTGTGTGTGTGTGTGTGTGTGTGTGTGTGTGTGTCCCTATGAGAAATTCAATTTTGCAAAAGATATCACAGAATTTACCTGAAAGCTTCGTGGCTCCAAATGTTGATTTGCTTCTGTCTAATGTGAAAAAGAGGTGTTAAATGAGAAAGAATAGTATGTTCTATAAGAATGTTATATTGTTGGTGGATGTACATTTGGCTGAACATCTGAAGGTATCCATCTTTGTGACAAAACTAAGACTTTAAATATATCTGAGGAAGTCTAAATAGCAAAAAAAAAAATCACTATTCTCATTTGAATTTAAAATGTAGTGGAAATGTATACATTCATTCAATAAGCTTTTTTCCCTAAGAAGGAATATGCATAGTGAGCAAGGATGGAAATTCTGATACCTAAGGTGAATTTTGCCCAAAAACTGTGTGTGTGCATGCATTTGGCTAACACTGCAGTTTATTTAAGCTTGTTTTTGTAAAAAAGTGGATATATCTCTAGTAGTATAGATCTAAAACAGATGAAACATTGAAAATTTTCATATATAGGTGAAGATTTTCCATTACCAACATAGTTCAAGCTCAAAATAAATAAGTTAAACAGAGAGTTATTTTGCTTCCTTAAAACAACCCACTGTTCCTTGGAATTAACCACAAAAGAAGGAGTTTCTGAGAGTCAATATTTTAAAGAAAATGGAGCAAAGTTTATTAGACATTTAGAAGATTGCATAGGAAGTAGTAACACAAAGCAGCAAAGGAAATGTCAGGGATGCATGGTCCTGAGAGGAAAGGAAGACATTCAGAGGCAAAAGCATGAACAGGAGATGGGAGGAGAATACTGAGGATCCTGAGCCAATCAGCCTAATCCCTTGGGTGGCTTTGGTGCTTAGAGGTATTTATTTCCTAGAATGTAACTATTCCTGGTCGTTTACAAGCTTTTCAAGTAGGAAGGCTTGGGCTACAAAAAGGGAAAAAATGGCACAAAAATAAGATCCTGGATACAGCCCGAAGGGATCCACCTCACACACGATGGCAGATAGATCAGCCAGGACCACATGAAAGAGCTCCCCAGTTCCACCCCCACGCCAGCACAGCCTGCCAAGGGGCAGAGGCCAGGCCGCAGGGCAGGGAAAGTAGTACCTCTGCTGAGTGCTAAAGCCACTACTGAGGAAAACAAGGGATTTTCCACCCCTGTCCATGGATGCCATTGTATAAGATGCACACAGAGCTTTATAAAACGTGAAGTGGAGAGCAGAATCAAGAAGGAATATACCACAATGCCCTGGGACAGGCAGACATATGTAGCAGACAGGACGGCAGATTCCTCGCCAGGGGAAGCAAGGGGCCCAGGGAGTTCTTGCAGACTTACCTAGCAGCAGCACTGCTTCTTGCAGCAGCACTTTTGCTGACAGCAGCACTTCTGCTGGCAGCAGCCCTTCCCACAGCCGCAGCCACAGCCACAGGAGCCGCAGCCGCAGCCACAGGAGCCGCAGCCACAGGAGTTGCAGCAGGTGCGGCGGCAGCAGACGACCACGGGGGTGCTGCAGCAGCCCCCACAGCAGCCAGCGCAGCAGGGGCAGCAGCCAGAGCAGCAGCCCACCCGGTAGCATCTGCAGGTGGTGCAGCTGTTGCAGCCACCGCAGCCGCCACAGCCGCCACAGCCACCGCAGCCGCCACAACCTCCACAGCCACAGCAACCCATGGTGTCAGAAGAGAAAACACAGCTGAGGGGAGGACTCAGGTGAGGAAAGACTCAGGAGAGCAGGATCTGATGCGCCTCCTTTGGCTCCCCTTATATGCTGCTCCTCCTTCCTTGTTTTGCCCCAGTTTCCATGGAAGGATCTCACAAGACCTTTTGCTTACTTCCTTGTCAAGGATCTCTCCAGGATAGCACTGCTGTGTCCAGACTGTGGTCTCTTAGGAAGCCTGGAGATTCCACCTATGACTGGAATAATTATGTGATGCATCTTAGTCCAGAAGGGGGAAATGGTGGCTAGAGAAACCACAGCTTCAGGATTCACTGTGACCCTGGGTCTCACCCACTGGCCATGGTGGGTGGGATTGGAGTGTTCAAATCACAAGGCTGAACTTCTGAGGTTGCTGAGCAGCAGAGCGCTGAGCAGGAAGATCTCTAACAACCCCTGGTCCTGAGAGGCGTGTCAGAGGTGGAAGCATGTTTCAGGTTTTCTGGTCTTGGGTTAAAAAACTGAGCTTATCCAAGAGACCCCAGCTGCGAGATGAGGAGCACCAACACTCAGGGACCTGTGACCCCATGAAGCCAGGTTATCTAAGTTTTAGGACCTTCATTGTTAGCCCAAGAGGGGCAGCACGGTGATTAATTCTGGGCGCACATGTGCATCATCCGGGACTGACTTAGTTCCCAAGTGAGCCAGGCAGCCTTGTGTTCTGAGGTCATCAAGCAAGAACTTTACCTGCTAGACTCAGCATGGCACTTCAGCCTGGCGGGGCTGGACACAGAGCCCGAGAGCTAGAGCCCGGGAGATTTCGGGTCATGAGTCCACAGTGCATGGCTGGGCTGAGAGCTCAGGATGGCTTCAAGAATCCTAAGAGAGCCTGGCAGGAGGCTGGAACCCCCAGGATGGGTGTTTCCTTCCTCTGTTTTCCCAGTTCTTTGGTAGATAAGCAACAATCGAACCTCCTTCTGGCACCTGACTTATATTTTCAGTGCCTGACATCACACAGTGATTTTATCATGACTTTAAATGTAAATGAGTTATTCTAATGAATGAAGGAATTCCAGACAGCGAGAAAAAGATGGAATACCTGGCATAAAACAGTACAGGGCCTATGCTGATCCTATTGATTCTGGTTTTCCATTCATTCCTAAGGGAGGTTTTGCTAAATTGAGTATCAGATAGGAACCTCTGCAGAGAAAATAGTGCTTTCCCTGACCTACAGAGACTGTGAGGGCTCTTGCCGGGTGTGGGTTCTTCCTCGCATGTAATTGCAGAGGGTTATTCTTGAATATGTGAGCCATCTGTGTATTTCCTAAGACCACACTTGGTCCTTACCATTTGCTAGGCTCTCCTCTGAGCTCTGGAGACAGGAAACATAGAAATACTTGCTTTCCCTGGGTACTGGTACATGTTAGAAGTGTGTCTATTCTAAGTCCTGAGCTTAAGGGAAGAATCAAGCTTAAAGGCAGCAATAACAGCGGGTCACGCTGTCAACCAGGAAGGACATGAGAGACCTCGTGAGGCTCTGAGGTAACTGTAAGAAACAGTCACAAGGAAGGGGTTGCTGTTCAGGACTAGGTATATAAGGGTCCCTGCAGGATGCAGGGTCAGACTCTTCTATACTCCTGAGTCCTCTCTCCTCCCTCACCTGCTTCTTGTCTACTGACACCATGGGTTGCTGTGGCTGTGGAGGTTGTGGTTGTGGCAGCTGTGGTGGCTGTGGCAGCTGTGGTGGCTGTGGCAGCTGTGGTAGCTGTGGTGGCTGTGGAAGCTGCTGTGGCGGCTGCTGTGGCGGCTGCTGTGGCTGTTGCTGCTGCAAACCCGTAGTCGTCTGCTGCCACCGCACCTGCTGTGGCTCCTGTGGCTGCGGCTCCTGCGGCTGTGGCTGTGGCTGTGGGAAGGGCTGCTGCCAGCAGAAGTGCTGTTGTCAGCAAAAGTGCTGCTGCAAGAAGCAGTGCTGCTGCTAGGTGCTGCCAGCCTGGCCACTGCACGGGTGCTGTTGCCGTGGGGTCTCAGTCTGCTGTCTGCAAAGCTGTGGGGTCAGAGGCTCCAATGCAGGCATGGGGTCTGCCCCGTTCACTCTGTCCTGCTGTGACAAAGGCATCTGGACTCTGTGACGGCTTCTCCCCTGACCGGACACACCATGTTTAACGTTTCCTGTTCTAAGGTGGTGACCTCCTCCTGCATGCTATGCAAGGACCAGGATGAAGGGCAACATGATTACCAGGTTGGTAAGTTCAAGTGATGGTTCCCACTGTGTTTTCTGCTTTAAACCTTTTTTTGATCTCTGTGATACTTCATCCGTGTGAACTGCATAGGAAATGCCTCTTCTGTAGCCAGAGTTTCTCTAGACAATGCCTTAAAGTTTATTAATAAAATTCTAAATTAAACCCCAGTCTTCCTTTCTTTATCTCACTGTGTTTATTTTCATTTACGTGCCACCTTTTACGATCTCCCCAAGGTGTGGCCTTGGAGAATGCACAGATAATCAGGACTGTGTATTACATACATGCCTGTCACCCCCAAGCCTGCACACACATAGTGCAGAGCGATAACGAGTGTGGTAAATGTACACACTGATGGGAGGTGCCATGGAAGGGTGGGACGGCACATTGCCGTGTGGGAGTTGGTGTGATTGAGAAGGCAGGACCTGCCTCTAAAGGAGGCGGCAATCCCAGAATTCAGGAGGCTGAGGCCTGAGGATCAATGCAAGTTCAAGATCACCCTGGGCAACAAGGTGAACTCAATACCGGCATGAACTACACAGGGAGACCCTGGCTCAAAAGACAAAGAAAAGGAATGGAAAGAAAAGAAAGGAAAAAAAGAAAGAGGTGGCATTCCATATTGGGTTTTGGGAGTTGCTAAGATTTGGTCCTTAGAGGTGTTTGGGGGCAGGTTTTCCAAGACCTTTCCAAAGGATGGAGGAATTTGTAGTTGAAGACATGTATGGGAGCTAGGAAAGTTTAATTTGCAATCTATCGTGTGTCAATGTCAAAAGTTAAAAATAAGAAAGAAAGGGAAGATAAAGTTCATGACTGAGGACCTGTGGTTGTGAGAAGTGCTGCTGCCAGCAGAAGTGCTGCTAGAGAGACGTGGCCTGACCCCAGACAGAGTTCCCAGCAGGGAACTCTTGTTCAGATGCCCTTCTCCCCTCAGTCCTTTGAGGATCAGTGGGGGTTTGAGCCATTTCTGTGTTGCTTGAGGCTCTGGTGCCAAATGAAAACAGTACCACAGGACTGTGGAGTTTTAAGCAAGCAGGCAGGTGCCGCTGGTTCCAGAGGCCCAGAGGTCTGGTGTAAGTGCCCTGTGCACTTTCCCCAGAGTCCATCTCATTTGGGATCCCCGTGGCTTCTGGATGCACTGGAGCAGTTCAGCGGGTCCGGGGCACCGGCACTGGACTCCCAGTTCTGGCTGAGCTTGGTGGACTCTGGAGTTCTAAGTAAGCAGGCGGGCACCACAGGTTCCAGAAGCTGAGCTTGAGCTGGCCTGTTCCTTCCCCAATGACCCTCTATCAATCCAGGGAACTGGGTGCCAGAGTCCCAGGAGCTGAGGGCATCGAAGAGGATTTCCAAAAGACCCTGAGGAAGCCGAAGAATAACACTCGAAACACTTGAAACACAGAAATATAGGAAAATGACAAAACTAAAGACCAAATTGCAATGTCAAACCTTCAGCCCACACAAAGAAACATTAGGAGTGATGTACATAGAAGAAAATTTTTGCCATACACCTCAAATATTGGACATAATAGCAACTGAAATAAACAAGCATCTCCGGGAAGCTTTAAAAGAATTCAAACTAGAAATAATCTCCCAGGTAAAAGAAGAAATGATAAAAGAAATGAAAAAGAGGCTGAATATATCTAAAGAAGACACAGTTAAAAATTTGGAAGAACTAAACAAAATGGTAGAATTCCTAGATGAGCAATACAGAAAACAAACAGAATACATAAAGCAGATGCACAGACATATACAGGAAATCAAAACTTCCACTGAAAGCTGTAAAAACTGCCTCAATGAAAGTGAAGATAGAATTTCAGACCTTGAAGACAAGATTGCAGCTAGTGAACAGGAAAGGAAAGATCTTTTAAAAGTAACAAGGCATCAGGAAATAACAATTCAACAAGTGCAAGATGATGGAGGGGGAAACAACAAAGGATTAATGAAAAAGAAGGGGACGACATAAAGGATGTCAAGGTGATATTTAGAGAAGTAATAGCTGATAATTTCCCAAACATGAGATTGGAATCTAACATCAGGATCAGTGAAGCACATGGAACTCCAAATAGTCATAACCACAATAAAACTACACCCAGACATATAATAATCACCATCCCAGAAATCCAACACAAGAATAGAATATTAAAAGCTGTCAGAGAGAACACACATATCACTTATGAAGGAAAACCTATCAGATCCACAGCAGACCTCTCAGCACAAACAATAAAGTCAAGAAGAGCATGGAGCAAAGTATTCCAGATCCTAAAGTAAAATGATTTCCCAGCTAGACTAATGTACCCTGAAAAACTGTCCTTCAAAATCAATGGTGAAATAAGATAGTTCCATGACAAAGAACAGCTGAAGAACTTCATGATCACCAGGCCAACCCTGTAAAAAGTATTGAAAGACAGTTTACATACACTTAGGAAAAAACCACTAAGCAAAGCACACAATTAAACAGAACAGAAAGATAAAGATGCAACAGCAGAAAAATAACATGTCAACAATAAACCATCATATAACAGTTATAACCATTAATGTAAATGGTCTCAATGTACCAATGATAAGAAGCAGACTGACTGAACGGATGAAGAAACAAAATCCAACCATATGCTATCTACAAAAAACCCATCTAACAGAAAAGGATACTCACAGACTGAAAGTCAAAGGATGGAAAATAATACTTCATGAAACAGGAACCCCCCAAAAAGCAGGAGTAGCCATTCTGTTTGTAGAGAATGTGAACTTTACACCAATAATAATCAGAAGAGATAAAGAAGGTCACTACGTACTTGTTAGGGGAAAGCCTCAAGAGGAAGAGATAACTATCTTAAATGTATATGCA